CTTATAAGCTAGGGTCAGATGGAAGGGGAGGAGGACCTCCCATATCAGTGGACTTGGAAAGGGGCAAGGGAGGAGATAAGGGAGGGAGGGTGAAATTGGGAGGGAATGAAGGAGGGGGCTACAGCTGGGATACAAAGTGAATGAATATAAATTAATATAATATAAAAATTATATTAATTAATATAAAATTAATATTAAAAACAAAAATAAAAAACTCCCTTCTCAGCACAGGCTTGCGCCTGTGCCTCCCTCTGAACATGGCCATCTTCCACCCAATTCCAGATGTCACTCATTTTCCTACTTCTAAATCTTCACCAGCTTCAGAATCCTTGTTCTGCTGAGTTTCCACAGCCTTCCACTCCTATGTTCTAGCCCCAGCAAAATGTATGGAACTCAGAAAACGTTAAAAAGGTAATAAAATTCTGACTACCACAAATGACATGGTTGTACGGCGCAGATTCGCAGGCAACCTAGTCAGTTTATCTTGTGGTGACTTGGGGAGACCTTCGGCACTCAAGTGGGGGCCATGAAAGACACTGTGAGTCAGTCATCCATGCTGAGATCCGAGCCATGACAGCCAACTGTCACACACACAAGATGCTCCTGTTAGCAAATATGTATCCCTACTTTAAGGTCATTTCTCATTCTACTACAAAATAGTATTACTGGAAAATACTTTATGGACTAAATTAAGTTCTAATTACACAGTGACTGAGGTGAGGCAGGGCACAGAATCCCTGCTCTCTCTCTTGTTTCCAATTTCCACCTTTACTGTGTTACAGAGGCCTCACACCCCTCTTAGTTCCTGCCTCCTTTTATTCTATCACAGCCTCTGACCTAAGCCTAAAAGGACTCTTTGAACTCACAGGTCCATCTATGTCATCACCTCAGTGCCAAATGGTCCTGGTTTACCTTTTGAAATTAACTGTGCCTAGTCCATCATTCAATACTGTCCCAGTTTCCCTCCTACCTCCCAGCCCCAGGCCCCACCTCCATGCAGGACTCTCCCTTTGGTACTGTCTTCTGTGTACCTGCTTTTATAAATCCCTGTGTATCTCCTTTGTGACACCTTCTTTGCTTTCCTTTCTTTTGTTAATTCTGCTTTCTCCCTCCCACTCACCTCACTAGATGTGAAGGTGTTTTAACCTTTAGATTTCAGATGTGTTAATCACAAAGTTCAGGAGCACAAGTTAGAACCACCATCATCATAATAGCAGCAATGCTAAATTGAGCTGACTTCACTATTAGACCTGGTTTAGTTGAGCTTTGTTTTGTTCTAATCTGCATTTCACAGTAATGGTCAGAAAGTCGTTCTCCAAAGAGAGGAGGAGCTCACCGTAAAACAGAGGTGAGGTGAGAGCTCAGTTAACCCCGCCACCTTAGAAGGCTTGGGGGAGAATCCTAGAGTTGTGGCCATCTGAAAGTTGCAGCATAGAAAGGACAGAGGATGCCATTGACATCCCATCCCCTTTTTCTAATGGCTTACACCGCTGGAAGGAATGTCTAAAAGGATATTTAAATTCAGAATAAAATTCCAGAAACCTCAATTTTAATTGCATACCAACTGCAAAATATTTCTTTCATCGTCTAAACAGAAGAAAGGCTATAATACACGCTGTCTGCTTTTTTCAGAACTCAGCGATTAACCTTTAAGATTCTTTTCTAGGATAAATGCTTCTTTCCCCAAAAAAAATGTATCTTGAGACTAGATCTTAATCTTCTAAAAATCTAACTCTTTTCATGGATGACAATGAAACCACAAACCCTCATATAAAGCATCAGCATAATAATTTAGACACTGAAATTTCAGAGGCTCTTCTCTACATTGGAAAGTTAATAATTTTTAGAAGTCAAACACACACACACAAAGCTACCTTCTTCTCCAAACAAACACATTCACAACACCCAATTTGATTACTCAACAGCAAATCACAGCAAACACAAGGGAAGATTGGGCTGCCGTTTCCATGGTGATGACTTGATGTGGTTCAGCTCTTCTGGGAATGAAACCAAATCCCCAAAAGCAGGGGGGGAAAAATCAGCAGCAAGAATTCTCTAACATATGGCAACTGCCAACAAACCAATGTGGGGAAAATACCTTTATATTCTCTTCCTCTCTACCAGGAGAAACACCTTCCCATTACACTATTAGAAAAAGCACCTAGATTTTGTTGGTCATTCTGTGTGTAATTCAAAACTGACTACTACCAGGTTCCTTTATTCTTAGATTAAGAGAGCTGTTGCCTCCCAGCTAGATTCCTCCACTCACGAATCCCCAGGATAGCACTTAAACCGGGGTGAGAAACATATCCATCCTCCCATGACAACTCCTCATTAATCCTAAAGGGAAACTCAATCTGTAGGCTTGGCTCTTGGGAAGGAATGTAAATGCATTTTAGCATCTCTAATGCTTTAGAAGTCTTGATTGCCACAGAGAGGAGAGGGTTATTTCTACACTTTTAAATTTTATTTCCTTTAATATCATCACCATTAATACTATTATTACTGCTGTTAGTAATGGAGCTGAGGGCACACATGCGCCCACAGTACATGTGCAGAGGTCAAAAGTCAACTTTTTAGAGTCAGTTCTTTTTTATTTTCCACTTTTATGATTGTCCAGAGGATCCAATTTGGGTTGTTATGCTTATACAACAAGCACTTTACCCACTGAACCATCCTGTCCATTCTGCCTTTATTCTCCTAATCTAATTATTACAGCGAGTTCTTAAACAGGAAACAATAGCTTGTTTTGTTTTCCCAATCTTAACATCTGTGCTTTTTTTTTCTTTTTAACATTTATTTTCATGACAGTTTTGTACAAAGTGTTTGATCATATTCACCTCCTCTCCCCAGACCCATGCCCTCATCCCTAGCCTCACAACTTTGTGTCCTTTAAAAATGAACCAAAGGACCTTCAATACTAACTTGCACTACACTGCCCAAATAGTCTTGGATGTGTGCAAGGCCACATCTGCACCTTGTAAACAACAAACTAAAGGTCACTTGAAATCTACACTTGAAAAGTCTGTGTCTTTACAAGAACGAAAACTCTATCGACATGCAACATACAGTCAATGAAAATGGCCGCCTCCACATGGATAAACACCTCCAGTGATAAAGGCGCCCAAGAACAAGCTGTCTGCTCTATTTTGAACAGCTTGTAGCTTCAAAAAAAGTTTCTTAACTCATATTTCCACACACCACTGGCCTCAGTTGCGCAAGCCCAAAAATACACGATGAAGCCTAATGCTTTGTCCAACATCCCCTCATGTATGTGTGGTTGGATGGATAGAGCCCACTGCCCCCATTCCTCCCAAGCCGCATCTCTGTCCTCTTCCTCAGTGGTGATGCCTCCTGTCTCCTACCGACCCTACCTACTCAGCGACCTCCCAAGTTACTTGGCTTGCCAATGACTTCAATTCTCAGTGAAGGTTTTCAAGTGAGAAGTTGGCCCAGATTGGAGGTTTTCATATAAAATATTTAATTTAAAGCATCCATGGAGGGCTGGAGAGATGGCTCAGTGGTCAAGAGTACTAATTGCTCTTCCAGAGATCCTGAGTTCAATTCCCGGCAACCACATGGTAGATCACAACCATCTATAATGTGATCTGATGCCCTCCTCTGGCATGCAAATGTATATCCTGGTAAAGCACTCAAAATAAATACATAAATCTTAAAAAAAAAAAAAAAAAAAACACCTAAAGCATCCATGGAGAAAGCCCTAGAGAGCAATGAATACTGAGGTGACTTTGAAAATGAGTTACTAGCTTGGCTGTTTAAATTTACATATATTAAAATAACACACACACATACACACATGTGCAGGCATTCTGGCCTACAGTTGTGATTCCTGACCTAAATTATTCTTTTTTAAAAAAATAAATTAATAGAGCATATCTGAAACATTGATACTTTTTTAAGGATTGACTTTATTATCTATTCCTCTCTTCTCCTCTCTCTCTCTGCGTGTGTGTGTGTGTGTGTGTGTGTGTGTGTGTGTGTGTGTGTGTGAGCGCGTGCACCGACAATGCATGTGGGTTCACACAAAGGCCAGAGGAGGACATAGATCCTCTTATGCTGTAGGTACAGGTAGCCGTTGGTGGCTTCCCTATTTGAATGCTAGACACTGACCTCTAATGCTCCAAAAGAACAGCAAGCACTCTAAACCACTGGGGCTATCTCTTTAGCCCCCAAATCTGAGAATTTAAGGAGACCCCCCCTGCTCAGGGTACAAGAGAGTCATCATTCATGTCACGGGGCAACTCCCACAAGTTAGTACAGCAACTAGCAAGCCAACTTCCAGCAGTGCCTGAAGTGCAAATCCATCACACCAGCGTGAAGGAGGCACAGTCAGAAAACACTTATCAGTGGATAACGACAGGAACAAGTGTTTCCTGAAACACAGCGGAAGATTACCACAGAATATTCAAGGACACACTATCGATTTTAACCTGCAGCTGTTTCCTTTATCAAGAGAAAACTGTTTCCCAGGAATATAAGCTGCTGTCTGCTCTGAATCGCAAGTTCTGCCCTCCAAACCACAGGTGAGGTATTTGCCTTCTGTCGACCACAAAGATACCCTTACGAGGTCACTGGTCTTCTCCAATAGAGGGCTGCTCTAAACCATTTGGCAACATCCAAGCCAAATAAAACCATCCCACAGATCCCTGGGGACTAATTGCCACAGACCCCAGACTATGGAACCAAAAGAGAGAGAGAGAGGTTCATCCAAAATTATGGGAGGTATTATTTTATGATCACATACCTACCTGCCTCATAGTCTAAAGCATTTGTTTACTTAACCAACACCTACAACAGATAAAAAGTGGCCTGGCCACAGGAGCTGCCACAGGCAAACTCTAGAAAAGGAGCTGGAGGCTTAAGTCCCAAGTGACTAATTATCAAACGGCCATTCATGAGTTTAAACACTTTTGTTACAAATTTATATCAGAGTTATACAATGCCCCAACAAATATTCATTATTTCATTTCCTGGCTTACCCCTGTCCATTGTCCTTGATCCAGCAGCTCTATCGGGGACTGTCAGATGGTCTTGGTTATTACTCAATGAAGAAGTGTCATCTCTAGATAAAGAGTTCAAAAAACCGCTTTCTGCCATGACGGAGCTGTTTTCTGGGGCCCGGCAGTTGCTTCCTTCTGAGGACGCAGGCGTGTGGACCTGCACAGCGAAGGTCAGGGGGTGCCCCACATTTACCGCAGCAGGCGAGCTGTTAACCATGTCCAGCCAGGACTGTCTTTCTTTAGATCCCGAGGAAGGAAACCGGCTGGGCGCCTTTACTGTGTTTTCCAGAGAGGAGAAAGAAGACGATGTTTCCCTCCGTTTAGGTGAAGAAGAAGATGCCCGCCGTGCAGCCTATTTTCCACAAATAAAATCAGAAGAAGGAAGAGGAGGAACAGGAGAAGAAGAAAAAAGGCATTTTGAATTAAATTACCATTCTCTTTGTTTTTATTAAAATTCTCCCAGAATTGTCTCAAAAAAGTAATCAGAAATATATTTTCTTTTAAATCAAGGAACAAATATATGATACTTTTTTCTCTATGGAAGCTACCAGAAGCCATTCTCTAAAACTGATTTGTGTAAGTTTGAGTTCACCAGATAAGATCTAAAAAATCTCTATATCAAAAATTTAAAAGTTTTAAGTTTCTCCAACAATTTAAAGACTCTCTTAGAACAATTCTTTGGAATGCTTGTGGGTACAATGATAGCCTGTCAGCTATTCTTGAATTCACAATGAAATGAGCAAAAACAACTGAGGAAGGTAATTAACGGAAAGAAAGCAGAAGTCTGGGGTGTGGCCCAATAGAAGACTACTTTCTAGCAGGTGCAAGACCTTCAAGTAGCAATTACCTACTCCTTAGCACGTGACCCACCATAAACTCATCACCATAAAACTTAAAAAATAAGCTAAACATGTCACTTCAAAAGTCTTCACCACAATCTTACATGTTATCATTTTGTGACAGGGAATCCAGATGTCCCAGTGTGTGTAAGAAATCAGAGGAATCCATTCTCTCCTTAAACCATGTGAATTCCTTGTAGTGAACCCAGAGGTCAGCCTTGACAGCAAGCTTCCTTAACTATGGAGCCATCTTGCTAGCCCCAGTCACTTTCAAATTTTAATACAGTTTCACTGAGTGAGACAAGAATATATTTATAGCCCCTGAATTCATGAGAAAGAAGGCAGGGCTGTGCCGCTGATGGAGATCAGCAGGTCACTGTGGGATCCTCTGACAGAGACTTTGAAGCGTGCTTCCAAGGGCAAATGATCACCCTGAAGGACGCTTCACCAATCCACAGACATAGTACCAAGGCCACATCAACAATAAGGACATTCTGTTGAGACAGACACCACTTATGCTGAGATTTTATATTACTTACATTTTGATAATGCAAAATTTTGAGAATTTTGACAAATAGTTAAATATGCATATGATATATATGTACATATATACACATTATACATACATGCAAGTAGTTTTAGGTGAGTTTATATTTTTGAATGCTACCCATACCAAAAGAAAGCTCTGGTAACTGCTTCCACTTTTAACATTATTCACCAATAAAATCCAAACATCTAGACGCAGTGTGCTCTAAGTTACCCTATACCCCCACCATGGCATTAGACAGAAGGTTGCTTGTGGTTCAGTTTCATGCCGTCATCCTATTGAATAATCCTGTCAACCATGGAAGTGTCAGGGTAAAGACTGTTAAAAGAAGAAAACATCCGGGCCTTCTTCAAAACCTCTGAAATACAGCAAGCAAGTCGGAATGCTTACCTGTGTTCTAACAGTACAGCGCTGTGAGTTTCAAGTGCTCTGAGCTTTTGATGGGAAGAACTGCGACTAACTAACATGTGTCTTCACAGATGCTCAGTGAATGTAGGCTGCCAAATGATCGATAAATCTACTGTGCTTCTTTTTGTAATGTGTGTGTTGTGCACCCCTGGAATCGTGAGGAAGATGTCAGGAATTACCTTCAAGAGTGCTTCCACCGTATTTACTGAGACAGGTAAGGTCTCTCAATCGATCCCAGAGCTCACCATATGGCCACTTTTCCAGGCAGGTTGTTTTAGGGACCTCGCCTCCCTCCCCCTCCCCGGTCTCCACCTTCTAAATCTGGAATTACAACCAAACCACCACATCTACCCAGCAATTACTTGGGATCTGGGATCTGAACTCACGTCTTCATGCTTTCACAGCAACCATGTTAGCCACCTGTCTATCTCTCCAGCCCAGAAATAAATCTACTTTCAATATTATCAGAGCATTAAAATGACTAGTAAGATATGAAAACAACTCATTCTGTGAAGTGTCAAATAGCTTGACAGCTGGCAACCCAGACCAATTAACAACTAGTCACCTAACCAATTAAACAACCAAGAGGACAAAGCTCTGTAAGTCCTGCTTCTCCAGGAGAGGAACACACAAGCCCTACACTATCCAAATAAATGCACTGATATTTTACTCATTAGATGAATCTATAAAATAATTAACTGCTTCAGTACTGGCACATTCTCCTATTGTGAACTATTCTGGTCAAACTCGCCTTCTGTTTCATTGGCTTCTCTTCATTGCAGAGATCAAGCCTGAGCTCTGTCACTCTTGCCGTGGTGATTTAATTGGCTTAGAGAAAAATGGCATTTTTGAGAAAAAGACCACAGTTGCAGCTACACTTGCTGTGTTTCTTTCTAACCTCCAAACTCTCCTTTAAGAACTAGGGAAGGGCTTCTTAATGAAGAGCTGGTCAGGTCTGCAAAGCATTTTTGGTTGACTGTTAATGAAAATACTCTTACTCCATGTTCCCAAGACCCCACGTTCCATTTGTAGAATTGTTTTCTTGTCCCTCCTCTTTTTTCAGAGCACATGCATTTGTGTGTGCATGCTGGCGGGGGCTGCCTGACAACCCCAAGTGTCTTTCTCACAGTCCACCTTGTTTGTTGAGACAAGGTCTGTCATTGCCCTGGAGCTAACCAAAGAGGCTAGGCTGGCTGGCCAGCGAGTTCCTATGATAATCCTATCTCTGCCTCCCTGCTACTGAGATTATAAGTACATCACCACACCAAGAACTTTAAATGGATTCTGAGATCAGGCTGAGACCCTCGTGCCTCCAAGCCAAGCACTTTACCAACAGAGCCATCTACCCTGCCCTAGATTTTGTTTTAAAATTTAAAAAGAGTGAATATTAAAATGAATGAAATAGAAAAAGAGATGTGAAAAACTGGGGAAGGTTGAAAACAAACTGAGAAAAAGGTATCTGTGTTAGGTGTTGAGGGTAGTCAATGAAACAGAAAGTGAGAACTGCAGAGCAAATTGGACACGGAGTTCATTTCAGAAGAATCCACCTGGGGTCACTTTTGTAAATAACACATTGCCAAAATATGGCTTATTGTTTTCTAAGATTCTGTAGCTGCCAGTAGCCAATACCAGGCACAGTATCCTGGCCTTCCTGTAATTATCCTTATCATATACTTACAAAACAATAGAGAATGAAGGCAGAAAGGCATAGGTACACTTTCTCTCCTCCCCATCCCTGTTTGACTAGTGAGTCTCTCTTTCAAAGCTAGTTCCCATGCCTGATCCTGTAGGAAGTCTCTCCAATAGCATCAGGCTGTAAGGATACCATACCTGGTGCCCTCTTCTTCCACATCGGATGAATATTAGTTTATTTGACAACATATTGCTATTGCTGATTGACTGCTAAATCTTTTCTGGTGGAGCTACTTGAGAACAGGCTGTTTTTAGTCATTTTTACACTTGCATTTTTTTCCTTGCATCTGTGCCCAACACATAGTTGGTTGATAACAAATTACTGCCAGGAAAGAATAGATGAGAGAACCAGCTCTGCAAGAAAAATCTGACCAAAGTATCTTAGTCTCTTACAAAGGAGCTTCCTCAAATCTCCACCAACTTGCTGAATCGACTGATAACTTCAGGAGAGAGGAGAGTTATGAGAGTCAAATAGACCCACAAATGCTCACAATCTCAAGCAGCTTACTTTTCCAAGGGAATTGATAACAACGTGTTTGTAATTCATTTCTGAGTGTCGGAGTTTCAAATATCTTCAGTGAGAAAACTGAAATCATATTAATGATTGCACCTTCTACTTATTACGCTTATGTATTCATGTGTTTGTGGGTGGACACACACACACACACACACACACACACACACTCTCTCTCTCCCCCAGAGAAGAGCTACCGGGGGAAGTAATTCCCTCCTTCCACCATGTGAGTCTCTGGGATCAAACTCAGCTTATCAGGCTTGTTGACAAACACCCATTCTACTGTGATATCTCCCTGGCCACGTGACTATACTTTTTAACTGACTGACATGATTGAATTCAAATATCAAAAATAGATCTTCTCATTTTATTTGTAGGATTTTTTATTATTAGAAAACTTTAATTAAAATGCTAGTTAGCTCTAACATCCCTTTTAAAAAAATGTGTTCAAAACACAAGCTCAACATGATGAGAAGCAATTTAAAATAACCACTAAAAGCTGGTAATTAGGAAGAAGTGATTCAGCAGAAGTCTTAGCAGCATTAATCAGTGTGTGCTGGAGAAGGAGCTAGAAAAAAAATAACAAGATTAACATAATAAAACCAAATGGTAATGAAGGAAGGAAAGTATACATATTTCTTTACATAATTTTTGTATTGGGGTGTATGTGTGTGTGTGTGTGTGTGTGTGTGTGTGTGTGTGTGTCTGTGTATCTGTATATGTGTGCCTGTGTGTGTGTCTATGTGTGCATGTGAGCACAAATGTGTGTGATGGAGGAAGGGGGCACATACCACAGCACACCTGTGAAGGTCAGAGGATAACTTCCTGGAGTTGGTTGTCTTCCACTGTGGTTCCAGAAATCAAGCTCATGTCGGGCTTGCATAGCCCAGACTTTCTACATGTTTATCAGCAGTATTAATAACAGTAAATAAATAGGTTCTCTAAGCCCTGAGAGGCTCTATGGCTATTTTTCACCTACATAATAATTGAAACAGGACCTTGTCTGTCACTGACCTCCTGGGTAACTTTAGGCAATTAACAGACAAGATATCACTTCCCACAACAATCTTCGGTATGCATGTGACTTTGCAAAGGTCATTTTTATCTTCAGTCATATTCTACTGTCTTCCTGCTAACACTCCATTGGCCAACACTCTGCACCAGGCGCCTTCTAATACCAAGAACATTTCTAAAGCAAAACTACATCACAGTCTGTATGTGTTAGATGAACTCTTCTATGGCTGCCCATCACAAGTAGAAACCTTTTCATTAGCAGAGAAGTTATGTGGGCTGCCCTGACAGCGTTGCCCCCTTCCTCCCCTTATCTGCCATATTGGCCTTTTTACTTCCCA